CAGGGTGCTTTTTACCCCCTTGTCCAAGTCGCTGATGAAGATGTTGAACAGTGCGGGCCCAAGAACTGAGCCCTGGGGGGACCCCACTGCTCACATCCCTCCAGGCCGAAAATGACCCATCTACCACCACTCTCTGGGTGCGGCCCTCCAGCCAGTTGGCGACCCAATTGATTTTGTGTGTGTGTTGACACCACAGTCCCCCAGTTTCTTAATGAAAACAGGGTGAGAGACAGTGTCAAAGGTCTTCCGAAAGTCCAGGAAGACTATGTCCACTGCTACCCCTGCATCTAAGGATTTGGTGATCTGATCACAGAAGGCCACCAGGTTGGTCTGACAGGACCTCTGCCACTGATGAACCCATGTTGGTTGCCCCTAAGAATGAAATCCCCTGCTGGCCCCTCGTGGATGTGTGCCAGCATAATTTTCTCGAAGGTGTGGCACTGCTATTTGTCCCCAGGGTGACAAACGTTCCCACCCGTCTGGACATGCCCAGGGATTTCAAATAGGAATCCATAGTGTTAAAACCATTTTGCATTGCATCTCATCACATTGTCAGTGGATATGCAAGACAATATATGTGCAACTAAAATAAAAGCCTTGTTAATCCCAAATGGCCTTGGAAAGTATCTTGCAGGATAACTGTTTGCCATGACCTGCCATTACTAAACTTTGTATTCATTATTTTTATTTGCATTAGATAAACCTACATGGACAGTCAGACATTTCAACAGTGGGGTGAGAGACATGAGAGTAGTAGAAAAAGAAAAAAAAAGGAAAATCCTAAAATTTGATTCAAAACATGTTCTTTTAAAGTTCTCTACTATTTTTTTAAATGGTTCAGCATTTTTCACATATCTAAGTATCAGCAGAATCAAGTGTTTTTTCCTGTTTGTTTTTTTACAGAAATAATTATTTCTGCATGTGTGGTTATCCACTACTTTTAAATTCCATGGTACATAACCCAAAACAGATTGTGTATGCTTGCATACATTTAAATGTACATATATTATTACTCAACATAATATGTTGTTATTACTTTAAGAACAGTGAACAAATAAAAGAGGAAAAGTGTAAGAAACAGAACAATCTAAACCTGGTAATGAGCATCCACTTTGTCTCTCATCAGTCTCCCCCTTTCAAATTCATGTTTTCCCCACATTTCTGTTTACTGGTTTTTACTATTTCAAGGAAATTAATTTTTTAAAAGTTGAATGAGAAGTTATGCTTGATATTCTGCAGGTGGGGAGTTCATAGATGTGCATGCTGCAACCATTTGATATGGGCTGGAAGAGTTTCATTTAGTGCCCCATGGAAAAAGTCTGAACACCACAAAAATAATGTCATCACAGTTTGCGTGAAAAAAGGGATGTGGTGATTTTAACACTATCCTCATTGTCAAGGACTTTATTTTTATTTTTTTAGAAAGCTGGCAACAAACTTTAAAGGCTTTAAAATTTAAAGGTTTTTCAAAGCTGTATTTTTAAAGTCAATGAAGGGATCCAGGTGTCCAACCCCCACTGAATTTCACCAGAATTTGGATTTTACCTTCCTTATACCCTCTCGATAATTAAAAATTACATCAAAATAAGAGGAACTAAAATTAAACCTAAATACTCTGTGTGTACAGCACCTACCAAAGTGGCTCCCCAGTCTAACTGGGCTCTCCAGGTACAATTTTTAATACAAATAACACATAATAAAAAGAGCCGTTACTACCATAGCATCGAAGAACCATTCAGATGCCTACAAGGACAGTTACAGTTTTATTGACTTCCCTACAACTGTACATACATTCCTAGAACTGTATTTTTTTCTTACAAGTTTAGCATCAGGTTTCTAACTTGTCCTTGCTTGGTAGCAGATCTCAAACTAATGCATGAAAAAAGTTGTTTGAATCCAAAGCGCACTGTGAAAATAATTTCCCCAAATGGTCTTTTAAAGTGAAACTCTGTAGTGCAGAAACCAGCTACTTGCACTTTTAAAATGGAAAATACTGAAGGTGATGTATCACTGAAAACAGCCAAGGAAGTGGATTCCAAAGCACACCTCAGTCTCAGAATCTCAGCAACATTTCCCTATCCACAATATCCAACTTAAGTCACAGTTATTGAGCTTGATGTCATATTCTAAGCTTTTGACCCTGCAACTTGTACAACTTTGTCAGACTCTTGCTTCTGTCAGGAGACCATTCACGTTGATGGGACCCTGAGGGGCTGCAAGCCTGCTCAGAAAATGTGGTAGATTCAGGGTCTAAGAAATACACACTTCAAAAAAACTAAAATAAAACAAAAAACTGAACTTTGAAATACCAACTTTGAAAATTCACACTGGATTACAGAACTAGAAAAAAAGTAAGGCACACCGCAGGTTGTGACCAAGAAATAACCACAACAAAATGCTTCTGTATTGCTTCCAAGTGGGAGTTTCAGTCCCAACTTGGTGCTGTTCAGTATATTGCTTCACAAGATCAATAATCATGTAAACCAAATTTCTCTTGCAGGCTGTGAAACTTACAGTCAAATTCTAACTAGGGACAGCCATGACTGGAGTAAGTCTAAGCAGTATTAAAAAGCAGGCACTTGCAGTTTAGGAGTTTAACATTAAGTTTGCTATCCATTAGTTAAACTATTATTCAGAGGATAGTGTTTCTGGAGGAACATTTCTGAGTTTCACAGTCAAGTGAGACATGGACTGAGAAGCCAGCTGTAAAAGATATATTTTATCTCAACCGTAATATAATTTTAATAATAACAAAACCACCCCTTTTTAGTGAATTAAAATGCCAAGTAAATAACAGAAGCTTATCTGCTGTAGGAGGTAATACCCGTAATGAACAAGCAACCCAATTCCCCATATTTTTTAATGTTAAAACCCCCCCAAAACACTAGAAATAAAAAAACATTTAACCCTCTCAGTACTAACAGTGGATAGATGCATCCAAGCTCATCCAAGCAAGAGTGCCATGCACTTCATAAAGCCAAAAGCAGAGGAGAAAGGATGGCAGCATACAATTCCCAAGGTGCCCCTTATTAACAATTAACTATTCAGCTCTCTGCTCAGAAAGAACATGCAGTCCAGCATGCAAATGCTAAAGCTGGGTTAATATGGGTTGCTTTTTTTGTATTTCCCCCCTTGATTTATTACAGGGTTTGCTTAATAAGAGGTTAAATACAAAGACATCTGGAAGACACCTTTCTAGCTGCAACAAAATCTCCATTAGTCTAAAATGCATTGCAAGACAGTCTAAACACAAAAACCGTGGTGCATGACATTTTCAAAATCCATGCCTTCTGCTGATGGAACGCACATTCGACTGAAGTGAACATGCAGTAAAAATACCAGAAATAGAACAAGGGCTGATTAGATGAACACAGGCCTCCATAAGGAAGCTACGAAGGCCACTAACCCTTCTTAAATTTATTCAGACAGCCAGAGTTGCAGAAGGAACGAGCGGATCCCGTCTCCCAGCAGCCCCTACCCTTCATCCCTCCAGCTGGATCACTCTCATGGAAGCTAAGCTCTACATTACTATTAGCCTTAGGATAGAAAAAAAAATGTCCTTATTCAGCAATCAGCTAAAATGCTGCATCGCTGCACTTACAGTTCCACATTTCACATTATAAATTCTTGCCACATGCTGTTACCAGTGCACTCACTACAGCGTGGAACTCACAGCAACCATCAAACCACCTTATTACCAGAATGCACCACTGCTTACTTCAGTACATAAGGCAATGCTTAACTCCATCAATGCCAGAAAGACTAATCGCCTTTCAGGGCACAAGAAAAAAAACAGCCCCATAAACCATCTTAATGAAGATTTTGCTGAAGCTATCTATAATACTATGCAGAACAAGTTTTAAAAAATACAGGCTGAAATCCTAATGCGACGAGATAATGTTTCTGGGAGAACAAAAGTATTTGGAAACAGGCTTGTCTCTTTAAATAGTGCTGGAGGTTGTTTTTAAGACTTTTGCTTGTAATACGCATCACAACCTTTTTTCTAAGAAACTTGTTTCTGGCTTTTCATCCTTAGGTACAATTTAAGATCAACCCAACACCATAGTGAAGAAACCTTAGGCATTTACATTAACAATCACATGCTTGTGTTTACATTTCTCACCCCTGTATTTCATGTGACATTTGGATTTTCCCAAGCTTTAATGTTTTACTCATCTGGGGATAGAACTGACAGGTCCAAGGTGAAAATGATATATAAATCACAATTCAATATACTGCAAGTAGTTACAGCAAGCTCATTAATGTATGGGACTTAGCAAATGAACACTTGCTGGTAAGGAATGATTTAGGGAACTGGAAATGGAACTGCTGTCAAGCATTTACAATATTAAGATTGTATTGTTGATGCTCCTGGCCAATTTTAGTGGGATAGCAAAGTTTTTAAAACAACACTGTGTATTTTAAGTGCACAGGGGCGGGGGGGGATGCATGTGGGGTA